CCCGGCCCACCCACTGCCACCCCTCACATTCACCCCGCGATCGAAGCGGCGCCAGACCAGGGGCGTAGCGTAGCGGCACCCCGCTGCCATCGCGGCCCAGCCGCCCTGTCTCCAGCCGCACGCACCTCCCTGCTCCAGGTAGCCGTCCTCGGTCGTGTGCCCCGGGCCGTTCTGGCCCACGGTTGCGCTCGCGCCGAGGAGGTGGGGGTGGGTATGGGCAACCGCAGCGAGCTTGGCGCCTGCTGCTACAGCATCGATGGGTTTTCAGGGAGGATACTTCCTTGGCCCCTGCTCGCTTGGTGCCTGCAACGTGTGGAAAGCGCGCGGCTGGGACATAAGGGTAAAATTAATAAACGATAAATTAGAATGAACCGAGAATGAACTCTGTCGCGCGTGTCCATAATCCGGCCCTAGTGTAATGACTGCTTTTACTAGAGAACTCTTTACCATCACAGCCTCGCTCTCTTCTCCCCATTGAGATGAGGTACCAAGAGCAGGCAGGATAGCGCAAGCGGCTGTTCTTGACGAGGCTCGGTGACACTGGCGGCAATGCAAGAGCGACCTGGCTGTATCGCGCACAGGGTACACTACGAGGTGCCGGACAATGTTTCACCGCCAACTTCCGAAACCGATTCCCTTCTTGTGCGAGCTCGCAAATCGTGCGACACCCCCCGCCGAGCGCACCCCTCTCTCCTTGCTATTGACAGTATCAATATTAGTCCGACCGCCCACACCCTTCGCTTCCCCCTCTCCCCTCTCGATATCGGACCATATCGTTTTATGCGCCGCTCTCTCCCCTCCCCCCCGGTGCTGCGCTAGGCTTTTGTCTCCGCGGGACCTCCCCCTCTCTCCCTTACCCTCCCCTCTCTCTCTCCGCTAGCCTTCATGTCCACCGACCCGCTCCCGATTGCTAGCCCATCCGCACAATATTGGTTTCTTGTCAGAAGGGGAGCCAACTTGGCCTGGGAGGGGAGGAGGGCGCGCGGCGGCGGCGAGGGCGGCGGTGCGGTGATACGGACCTGCCGCCCGCCGGCTCTCAGACGGACTTTATGAAGTGACTCCCACACGTCCACGCCGCCTGGATAGTGCGGATGGTGCGCAGATTGGAATCTTAGGCCCCCGCTGGCTGATTACAAAGAGACGTCAGCCGCGCCGAGAAAGGCAGACAAGACTCTGAGGGGTGTGCATTTCCCACAATGAGGAAATGCTTTGAACCTAATTTCGACAAATATTATGTCTCTAACCGAAAAAATAAATGGCACAGAAACGGACTACGGTAGTTGTAGCCAAGTGTCAGCCTTTGGTGTCAAAACAGCCTGGCCCTCGGCCTGGCCTAAGATGCAAAAGAAAACTATTTTTGTGATAATACGTTAAAAAATCACGTTTGTGGAATTTGCTGTTGACAATAATTGCTAGTCCCAAATAGACATATATTTGTAATTACGGGAGTCCGGGCCTCACCCCTGGCCGGGCCGCACCCTCCTCTGCACGTGCCGCCACGTGGCGCTCACCTGGACCTGGAGAGGGCGAAGGTGCTGAGGACACGTCCACCTCGAGACGAGCTATACACTTCTGCACTCTGCACCCCTCATTGTGATATTCTGCTGCTTACCAGCGTGGAATAACGCTGCCATGCGTTGAAATCTCTGATGTAGTGCATTCTTGGTAATGCGGGCGGTTTGAATGAAGACGAGTAATGTGTGTTTATCGCAGTAAATCTAACCAAGTATGTTTGTCTGTTTCAGGTCTAGAAGCCCAGGTGCAGGAAACCTCAAAGGACCTCTACTGGATCTAGGGGATTCACTTGCTGTCCGGGACCTAACAAAATGTGATGAAAGTGTAAATACTGTTTGTAATTTATGAAATTAGAACTGTTTTATGAAGATGTATGATCGACGTTTCGTGAGTGTGATAACCCTAAGTGCGAACGAGTGTGTCTGAGTCCATTGGACTTAGCTGTGCGGTGTGTATGAATATCTCAAAGAACAGACCAATAACTGAACTCGTAGAAATAGGGTTTAGTTCCAAAAAATAAGAATCTTATTGTATTTATTTCTTTATATTTTGTGAGAGTGAAATTCATCTATATAATTGTAATTGCATCACTGAAAGTTGTTGGTTTTTGTATCAGATAGTTCTGTTGTTGCGAAGGTATTCGTTCGTCGGACAGCACTGTTAAGCGCTTGACTCGTGTCCACGCACTGTGTAAATGTGGGTGATATGGACCACTTCTTGTTTTTACTTTCTCTCGATAATTTTTGTTACCCTGTATCTTTTCCACCGTTAGAGATATTTATAAAATGCGCTTCTGCAAGAATGATTATGTATAGAACTGTATTTATTGTCGTTATTTCTTCTTACTTGTTTTCACTCACACGCCGTGTTGAGCTCCGCTCACTCCTGTCCCTGGTTTGGTCGCTCACCGGCGAGAATGAACGCAAACGGCGCCCCAGAGACAGACCTCCCTTGTTGACCCCGCAACTCGGAGGTGTGTTTGGGGGGCAGCGTCAGGGCGGTGATGAATATTGACATCGGCAAGTCAATATTTTTTACTTAGTCTGATGAGAACTGTGATATAGCGTGTCCGACGTGCGATCCACTGCGCAGTGCATCCCGACCTGGAGGATGAACTGAATGTGTGCCGGATTGCAGACGCGGAGGATACTGCGACTCTGTACACTATGAGTAATGTTATATAGATGGGGCGGTTATGTTACGCCCCAGGAATTAACTTAATGTCCGCATTTTTATGCACCACTCCTATCATTTCTGTACATATAATACCATGTATTCGACAAATAGTGCAAATACTAATTGTAATTCCTACAGTTAAAGTTTCAGCATAGAAAAGGCAGATGAGTGATATTGTTATGCTTTTAATCGTCCGTCGACCTTGTCGGTCGTCAGGACGTTCAGCTTGAGAGGCGGGAACACTGCCACCATTCGCATGCATATTGACCAATAGCACAATTCACACTATATTTTATTTCTTAAAGTGAATAAAAGCCTTCGTTTAAATAAAACCATGGCCAAAATTATTGAAAATTAAGAGGCCATCTCCGTCTCTGGAATTTCGAATACTTTAAGCATATCCGCCGCGTTACTTTTGGAAAGCTCAGTTTACGCCGGACTGTTGACTGTCCTGCCTGCATGCTGTGTCAGTCTGTAATGCCAGTTTCAATAAAATGTTAAAGTATGCTACTTTTTGTGTATTTACTTCTCTGCCTCTAATGAGAAGCCCTGACCCTGAGGTTTAGAGTTACAGAACAATACCAGAATGAATTCCAACAGAGTACACTCACCTCCACCGGAGACGCCTCTCCCAAAACGGGAAGCCATTGAGACCTCAACAGACTTTTCAAGAGGATCGTTTAGCGCGTCTAGCTCACGAGATTCCTTCTGGTTCCTTGTCGGGCCCGGGCGGCGGGACTCGCTCCGCCTGCCCCACCCCGCCTCGCAGCACCCCGCGGCAACCCCACCAGACCCCGCCCCGCCAGGCCCAGCCCCCTCGGCGGCAAGGCTTCTAATTAACCGGGAAATTCGAGAAAGTGGCAAAAGGAAGTGAGGGAGCAGGGTAACGAGGGGGGAGATGGAGAGACGCTGCATGTCAATTTGGGCCCCGGGAAGGGCAGCGGTAGCGGTGTGAAAAAGGAGTCGAGCTGAGGTGTCGGAAGGGTGCTCCGCGCTCGGCCTGGCTCGAACACAAGGCGCAGGGGTTGCCCCAGCTTGCAGCCGGGAAAGCTTTTTAAAACGCGCAAAACGTGTCGCAAATGCTTTCATTCAAATGATTCAACAGGTCGCTCAAAAGGGTTTTCTTCCCATACGTCGCGCCCCGACAGGCATGATCTCGAGCATAATGCAGAAGTCCCCCAAGGTGGCCTGGTGGTTAGTCAAGTCAAGCCTGTACAAACGCGGCGACATAAGGTGTACAATTATTATTTGCGTCTCTCATTAACGAAAGTGATTTCTCAGGAGCACGTCTCAGTGAGCTATAATGTAGTTCTGCTGAGGTGTGTGAGTCCCCCCTCCTCTACTTCCTCCACACCCCTCACCCACAGGACCCCTCACTCACAGGAATGTAGTTCTCACCCGGCCGAGTGGAATGACTCGGAAAGCCCACACTGGATGCATGCATTATTGCGAATGGAAACATGGAGCTAAAATTGAGACCAGGAAGTCAATCAGCTGATTAGGGAAACAAAATAATCCAGACCAAAGACATATTCACAGCAACAGAACCAGGGGATTTCGTTTGTTGTTCAGAGAAAAGTTTTTGAAGAAAGATGTAAACCACTAAAGTTGGCAAAATTTCAGTACTGATCTACCAAATTGGTGTAATAACTTATGTTAGCCCGTTTCAGTACTCAGTGCGTTTAAAGCAGTTTAAAGACAAACCAAGGAGAAGAGAAAATGTGCTGTGAACGACTAAAACGCGTGGAACGTATACTTTTCAGTTTGGCAATTGCTAGAGGTAATAGTTTAGTTCAAGTTCAAAGACGAAGAGGTATTATCGATATTAAGCATAAAGTCTGCATCTAGGTGTGTGGAGTAATGTGTGAGTGTGTGAGTGAAAACCTGGGAGGCGAGGAAAAGTAATCGATCCCAAGTTTCTATTGCAATAAATGGGCCAGACCCATTCGCTGAAAGTCAAAGCTTTCCCCAGGCCGGTGCCGAGGTGCCGGACACCCCGCCTCCGACTCCCCGGTCGGCTGCTCTCGCTCCACTGCGCCTCTCACGAGAGTAATCAATCAAGAAAGGCCAAATAACCTCTGGTAGATGGGCCAAATGAAAACAATTTCTCGAGTCCCGCTTCGCGGTGCTCGCGGGAGGCGTGCAGGCCGGCGGGGGTGCGAGTGAGAGCGCTGCTGCGCGCCGCTGCGCCGCGGGTGGCGCGCGCGCTCAGGTGGAAGCAGGACGCTTAGCTTTGGCGATTATTACTTCTCTTCGAGTGGCCCTCAAAGTGAGCATTGTGAGAGCCCGGGCTCGATACGTGTCGCGGACGTGTAATTCCCACACAACTTGCAAGGGCAGCTATCGCCGGCCGCACTCCGCCGAATGAATCGGGACACGGGAAGCACGGATGAGGTAACACTTCCCGCGCCGCCCATTGCGGGGAAACTACTCTGCACGAGTGCTGATCGGTAATTAGAATGTTATTAGTAGGCGAGCCAACCTGTTATTCATTCGCTGAGAAAAATGTTAATATTATTAAGTGCTTAGAGTAGTAGAGCACGGGAGGCACGAGAGAGAGAGGGCGAAGGGGCAGACAAGGGAGATAGGGCGCTCAAAGGGTTGAGGGCTGCTGGCTTTTCTTTTAGAAATATGAGGAAACAAGAGGAGAGCGCTAGAGGTCCCGCCGGGCCCCCGCCCGGTCCCCGGCTCGGCCCAGACTTGCGCCCGGCGCGAAAAAAAGAGGCGCACGAAAAGCGATAAGGACATAAATCAGGGGTCGCGTCTGCGCCGCCGGGGCGTGTTGAGAGTGTGTGCACCCGGCCCCGCCCGGCCCGGCTCGGATGAGAGAATTAAGGAGAGAGAGTGAGAGAGAGAGAGGCTGGGACCTCGGGTCCACCGGGTCCACCCCCTCGACACGCAAATGGAAGGCATTTCTACCTGGAGCAGGGCTGCGCTACTGAATGGCCCCGCGGGGTCAGCCCCCGCCACCGCCGCCACCCCACTCCGCGCGCGCATGGGCCGATTAATAAAGTTGTCTGCGGTATGGTTTATAGAGGCGCCAGGTAGAATGCCCCCGACGCGCGCATACGTGTGTGTGTGTGTGTGTGTGTGTGTGTGTGTGTGTGTGTGTGTGTGTGTGTGATGACATTCTTTGAGTCCAATTTACTTGACCCTCCCAATCTCTCCGTCATATCAGACGCATATTTCTCCCCCCGGTCGCATAGACTTAATTAATATTTATCACCCCCTCCGCATTATGGTGATCGGAAAGGACACCATAAATCCATTCTTTTGGTGATAAGAGCCACCCAACCCCCTGCTCCGCGCGGGTCCGTGGCGGGCCGTCCCGCGACCGCAAATGGACCGCTCTGGGAAAGACTGCGGCGCGACGCGCAGCAATGGCGCTGTCTATAGATTTGTTCTCGCTGCCGTCCGCAACGCCCCCGTCACTCACTCGGGGCGCTGCTGCTGCGGTTATTGATCGGCTCCCCCTGCCCTTTGCAAATCGGCTGTTGGCCAAGGCCATACAGCCGCCTGTTCGTTCAGCGCTCATCCTCGGCCGTTTCTTAGGCGCGGGTCTTGCAGAGTGCCCCCTCCTCCCCCCCTCCTCC